AGAGAGAGAGAGAGAGAAAGAGAGGGAGAGAGAGAGGGAGAGAGAGAAAGACAGACAGACAGAACTTTGCTAGAGAGCAGGACAGGGGGTGAAAGGAGACAATTTTAGAGAAGAAACATTTTCGGTCGCTACCTGGATTTAATCCCGGGACCTTTGAATGGGAGACGAACACCTTAATCTCGAGGCCACGAGAGCCCTCAGTTCGTGTCCGATCCATCAGGCATGGTTGTCTGCTTTCGTCTCCACTTTCTACTCCCACCCCCTCACCTCCTTCTCCCCCTCCTCTGGGCTCCTGACTCTTTCTGCAGCCTTTCTACTGCTACTCCTTGGCTCCTTCTACTGCTGTCTTTCAGCAGACAGACAGACTGACAGACAGACTGACTGGGAGTAATTAAGTGGTCTGACTGTGCTTTTTCTGTCTCTTGATTTGTCAGTTAAGCGATAATTCTGCGTTGTACAGCACCTCGAACCTTTTATAGATTATGCAAGTGGAGAACATTACCCAGTACTATCATTGGTTCTAAAATATGCCTCGTAGGAATTCGAAAGAGGGCCTTCTGTACTCCAGTGTGGCGCTGGCTGAGCCAACGGTGTGTCGCCGTGTACAATTCGCCTCATAGGCAGGTAGAACGTCCGTCTATATGCGTATGTCCCATGCCTGATGGGTCGGACACGAACTGAGGGCTCTCGTGGCCTCGAGATTAAGGTGTTCGTCTCCCATTCAAAGGTCCCGGGATTAAATCCAGGTAGCGACCGAAAATGTTTCTTCTCTAAAATTGTCTCCTTTCACCCCCTGTCCTGCTCTCTAGCAAAGCTCTGTTGTCTGCTTTCGTCTCCACTTTCTACTCCCACCCCCTCACCTCCTTTCCCCCCTCCTCTGGGCTCCTGACTCTTTCTGCAGCCTTTCTACTGCTACTCCTTGGCTCCTTCTACTGCTGTCTTTCAGCCACCGTAGCCCTGATCTTCTGGTTGGAAAGATTACACCTAGCCTTCTCGGACAAGAGCAAAAAAATTCAGAGGTCCTGTGTGCAAGTTGTGCAGGTTAAAGATCCCTTGGTAGTATAAAATCGATAACAGTAGACTTCGGCAGCCACCAAGGCCAAAAATTAAAAATTTCTTACCAACAGAGAATGTTTAATGTGTCCTGCGCGCTCCTATGACCTTATACAGTTGCGAGCGCCGTAAATACTTATAAAAAAGAGAAAAAAAATTTTAAAAAAGGACACGAGCTGTTTCAGTGTCAGGGTTGTGGAAAACCTCTCGCAATCTCAACATCTTGAATTCTTTGATTACAAATTTTTTAAAAAGTAAAAGTTTACCTCAGTGTCTTCGCGCATCACCATGATTGCAGCACAGTTTCTCGTTCCTATAAGACCTAGCATCAACTCCACCCACCTTCCTCAAATATGAGCCCAAATGTTACGTTAAAGCAGTACGAAAATGGAAGCTTTACTTTGCCTTTATCGTTTTTCGTCGAAGCACAGTCCACAATGATAAGACTCGGGCAAAAACCAATCAATCGCGCAAACATACAAACAAAAATAGACAAATAGACACAGAGACAAAGAGACAAACAAGTAGACAAACAGACGCACAAACAAAACACACAAACAAATATAAAAACAATACAAAACACCACAGCAATTACAGTCGAACCTGCTCTGATAACCACCTGCTCAAGAAAAACGGCTGTCCAAACGACCACTTCCAACTTCCCTCCCTTGTGTTTTCTTTCCTCATAAAGATATTATCCTTTTGTCCAAGAGGACATTTTCTTTAAGATGACAGCTTATCTCACCATACAACAAAGGTTGGTCGTCTTGGACAAGTTCGACTGTAATTGAATCACTAAAAAAAAGACAATTTCGAAAGGAATTTCAATGGGGATACGAATGTACTCACTGCTCATCTCATAAGCTAACTCGAACACCACACCGCTGAGAACAAAAATGGCGATCTGAAAGGAATATTGCAGCAGGCATTTAGAGATTCACAATATTATGGCCCAGCTGGTTAGGATGCTAAGAAGCTAGAAGCTGATGAAGTCAAGGTAAAAAGGCATACGGAGGTGAGTAAATAATTCATCGTTCATTGTTTCAGGAACCAACATCTCTGTATTCCGGATATGTCCATTGATGCCCCGTTGCTCTCTCCAAATATCGCTGAGGGTCCTACCACTGATTGTGCCATTGCATATGCCAGTGAGTAAATAATCACATCATCAACGATCTTTGGTTCAATGAAATAATATAATATAAGAATTTAAAAGTACTCGGCTTTCTAGCTTATGAGAAATGAGATTTTAAATTTGTGTTTGTGAAGTTGAAATGTTTAAGAGTCGTCAAGAGTATACTCCACTAAGACAATTAAAGTTCCACTGATATACAATAAACTAGCAAGGTATCCGTTCGATGAATGGACTCAAAAGAATCGATTATCAAGTCATTTTCACGCTAGAGAAAAACTGTAAATGATCAATTGAAAGAGGGATGTAGGTATCACCTGAAAGAGAAATTTAGATATCACCTGGAAGAGTGATTTACTAAGAAATATGCTGAGCCAGCTGTCACACCCCCAAAGAGGCAGAGGAGGTACAAGAAAAGGTTCGAGATCAGCTTTTCCATTTTGGCAACACATGCCTTTAGTTTCTGCACGACAATGCTGGCTTTGAAATTGGAGCCCCCGAATGTATGTCTCCTGTTTAAGATGATTTATACTGTATTGCATACAGCTGTGCCTGAGCCTAACAGTTCCTGTTCTTGCTGTGTTTTCATTTTCATTATTTTCAATCCCTGCAGTATAGGTAGATCTATCTGTTATCGTTACGGCTAAAGTTGCTGTGACTTTAGTTCAAGATCTAGATCTCATTGTTGCTAGGCATCTACTTTCTAAATCACTGTCGTCGTCTGTCACTTACTTTGAGCTAGTTTTTTTCTCCATTTTTGTCTAGGACTCAATCTGCCAATAGAACCCCCTCTGCGACGACGTGGCATTTTGTTGAGAGATTACACAGAAAATAAAACTCATGAAAAGAAGGAAGTAAGAAAGAAAGGAAGCTTGTGAATGGAAGCTTCACTTATTTACAATGGCGTCTTAGAAGACGGAATTTTTCAAGATTAGATCTAGATCTAGATCCAAACGAAACTAACGAAAAACTGAAAATTAAACTACAGTTATTTCAGACTCTTCAGTAAAACTGTGCACACTTTAAATGATTCTGAACCATCATTAAGTTTTACAAATTCGAAAATATAGTTTTAGGCGGCCAATGTGGCAAATATTTATAAATAAGATATAAAGATTAATCCTCCAGGCTTATTTTACTTTCGTGGTTGTACGCTCCAGAATTTCAAAGACAAGGAAACAGTGAGCACGGCTTGTGAATGGAACCCTCACTTAACAATGGTGTCTTAGAAGACGAACTTTCCCAAGATAAGATCTAAACGAAACTAATGAAAAACTGACAATTAAACTACAGTGACTTCAGACTCCTCAATAAAACTGTGAACCCTTTAACTGATTTTGAACTACTATTAACGTTTTTTAAATTCGAAAATTAAGTGGTTGGGAAGTTTAAGGTGGCTAAATTGACGAACTTTCAAAAATATAATTTACAGATAATAACCCCCCCCCCCCCCC